TATACAAACATTTCATTTTCTTTTTTGTTATTGTTGTTTTTTGTTCTTATAARAATTAGTAAACTCTCACCAATTTTTTTATTCAAATTTCTTTTTTTCAAATTTTATGTTTTAATGCACTGCACTAATGTATCTATTTTGAAAAATATATTTACTTTTTTCTCCGTAAAAATTTTAAAATCGTAATTAATCGTAATTTCTATAACGTTTTCTTCGCAACCTCGTTAACGCGCTATTCGATYTTAGACCTCGTCACACCGCGGCACAGTCAGTTGTTGTATTGCCCGCGTCAGCTCAAGTATTAAAGTGGCTAGTTGACTGTGATTTGCCACACGCCAAAACGAAGCGAGCACAAGCAGCAGCGACGAACGATCGATCGATCGTACAGTTATTTGTTTAAGAGTTGTTTACAAATCAGCTGTTGAGCGCAAATCAGCTGTTGATCGCAAATCAGCTCTTGGTCACATCTCAGGTGTTTAGGTATGCAGTTCAAGTCCAAGCAACGAAATATCGAAATACGCACGAAGAGATATATAAATATGTATTATGTGATATATCTACTTATATATAAGTAGCTTGTGGCATTTCGCACTGCCGAGTAAATTACTCATGGCTGCAACAAAAACAAAACATAAGCCACCACAGATGCTTTCAGTGCGTTTGGTGAGCTTTACACTTTGCTAAAGATGTCTCTTTCCATTAATTTTTCTATTTTGCAAATTATGGAGTTTCTTTTATTCCATATTGAATAAAAAGAAACCTCAGATTATGCCACATGATGCATACTAAATCATCTGCCGCCGGACGCCACACCATAACTATATGTGTGTATGTACGCATGTTTTGCACTTTATGTTTGTATGTACATCAATATTCACGGTTCAATATCGGTGAGAGTTGTTTGCGTCTGTTGTTATCGTTGTTGCAGTCAATGAATTATAAATGCGCACAAAGCGTGGATTTTGTAATGCCAGCTTAAAGAGCAACATAAAAAAGAAAAACTTTGATAAAAGCTTGTAACCAAATTGGAATTTCTATTGAATCATAAGAAGGTTGTCATTCTTATAGAAATCGTTTATTATTATGGGAGTAAAAAAATAGCTTCAATTGTTTATGGAGTAGTGATTTTACAGTGTTTTCTGCTTGCTCTGTACGTAGTTAGCCATATAAAGACTCACCACTTTTTTAGCCGGTTAAAGTCGCTTCGAAGTGCATCGATAGTTTTGGTGTACTTTTTTTATCAAGATTTTGTATACTCAAAACCCTGAGAGATCGATGAAAGAATGCAAATAATCTGTTATCYGGTATCGAACATTGAAATAGCTCACAGCTGATAACTTCATTACCTAGTTCAGTTCATGACTTTGATGATCAATGAAGTGATCTTCTTTTCCTTTATTTCCGTAGAAACCGCTTACACGATTGTAGCCGAGTTTACAACAGCGCGSCAAKCGTTCTTTCTTTTCGCTGTTTGGCGCCAATTGAGGATTCCMAGTGTAGGTCCTTTCAATRAARTGATTCGTTACAGTTAATACCGYGATTCGATAGYGTTTATTGGCGTWAGAGTTGAAGGTWCAGRYCTTCAAACATTTTTCTTAATATCATCGTAAATTCATGTCGCCATTTAATAATGTATTAAATTATATTTGATTGGTTCAGCTTTTGCTTTTACATAAACACTCAAATGATATGGCTACAGCTCAATAGCGAACCTAAGATTTTTCAAGACTCTCCAAATCAGCATGTTCCATGTTCGCCAATTCTGCATACAAAATGTGATCTAATGGATTTAAGTCTGAAATTTCAGTTGGCCAAACATCTGCAGCTATAAAACCTTGTAACTATATTGCCACMGCTTTTTGGTTTTTGCTTTGTTTGCTGGAGCTGGATCTGATGCTCCTCATCGAGGAAAATATTGCTGCAAGCTTTACCACCACTTACAAATTATCCCGCTGGTAYATCTTTGCTCCAGTTTTAACTYCTCTTTCACAGTAGTAAAGAATACMGGTCTTCATTTTACCTCATGGAAAAACTATTACAGCAGCTGAATGGTGACCATGTTAAACCCTTGGAATAACATATCGTAAAATTTTTTGCGACTTTGGAAGTTTATATATTTCTTCGTTTTGCTTAATACAAATTTCTTCAAATGTGAATATTTTTTAACTGTAAGAGAGTATACTTTCCTGATCCTTGAAAACTAGTATCAGTTGAGTACAATTTGCTTCAAACGCTTTGTCAAAAAACTGTCAAAAGTAGTTGACCAATGTTGCCGTGTATGCCCTGGAATAGAATTTAAAGCAAGACTTAGTATACCAAATGGTGGTCTATCTTATCGCCTGTAGTTTTATTCAAAGTGTGAGATTGCTTTAAATTTTTCAAAGATGCTTTAATGAGAAGAATACTACTTACTGATTTTCTTTAATAACCATCAACAATCCTCTAAACTAATTGTGGAAAGTTTCTATCGCGCTCCAAGAATAAGAACAAAGACCACAAAACCAGTAATATTTTATACTCTGTTCTTTTTAGATAGGGCAATTAAGTTGCCCTAATTATGCCGCCACTCGTAGTATCGGTTAGACTGTGCTAGAACTTCACCATGGAACAACTAGTAACGACATATAAATTATTGCCAGCGACAGAGAATATCTCATTAAAGTGGTATAACCAATTGCTATGATTTCTTGCCCTTGATTTATGCTAATAGCTTGTTCGATTAATAGATTTCATATGATCTTTACTCAAGCTCGGTACTGCATTAAAATGGCATTTTTCATATCCTGATACTGGTTTTTTAAGTGGTTTATTTAATTAAGTTGCCCTGGTTACAACCATTCGTCTGACTATTGAACAAATACATGCAATGAAATTTACAAAAGGGCTGACAGCCGATCAGAGCGCGACGTAATGCCATAAGTACATGCTGGATCGTCAAAGTCACATGTAAGAGCCGCTTGCTTTTTAATCACACTGTCTTGAAAGGACACGGTCTCAAAAGAACTGCTGAGCGGCAATTGCTCTCTTGACAGGTCGACATTACACGCGAGCCGGAGGGGCATAAGTAACGACAATACATGCAATAAGTGTAGAGAAGTAAACATGAGAAAGACGCTGCAACAGACCATATGCATATGTACAGCATAATCCAGAACCCGTCTTAAATATCCAGGAGCTTTGCAGTTCAAAGGACTAGACGAAGTATCAAACTTAAATATCGTTCTTAAAGTGCGCAAGCATGTTGACGTCTTGCACGGCGAATATTTTTCTACCATCTGGTACTACTAAAGACCAGTTGGTCCATATAAGGCGTGACAGCCCGTCAGTATAACCCACCATAACCTAACTAAGCAAKAATCCGAATTTGTGGATCAAAGGTTTATTTTTTCACTTATTTGGGTAATACTGTACCAGTTTTAAACTACTCATCCAACTCAAATTGATATTTCCAAACTACCCAATACTCTACGAGCTCTATAAGTACAGTTTTTGACACTTTTGGTTGAATTTACGATCAATTTTAACATTCCTGGCAAGAGCCTCCCATCGAGGCAGCTTTATGAAACTACTATAATAATGTCTCACTAATATACATTTAAAACTGGCAGAATTATCCAAAATTTATTAGGATCACATATACAAGGTGATTTACAAAGTAAACAGAACTTTAAAAAAAACAACAGAACAAATGATTTTTTCGGCAAAATCAATTTATTTTATACAAAATAGTCTCCTTCTGTTTCAATAGAGTATTTATTTGCATAGTCCAAAAGCATAACGAACGAGTGTTTTTGGTCGTCAGTCAATTTGCGCGGAACAAACCGTCTATGGACAATCSATAAAGRTAACAGGGGGTTAGTTTCAAAAAGTCCTACTATTGCACATGGCTTCATACAAACTGTTCGATTAAAATCCAG